GGGGGGGGGGGGGGGGGGGGGGGGGGGAGAAGGGTTTTTTTTTTTTTTGGCTTATATCTTATTTATGGATTTACTTGGGCGCAGGGGAGCAGCGCTGCGCCAACTTCAAACACTACCTTATCTTACAAACCAGCCGTTTGATGTTGCAGAGATCAGAGAGGCGCTGCACAGCCGTTGCCAAATGAAGATGGCAGGGAGCGCGCGCGGGTGCGAGATTTCAAAGCGGCAGAGAAACCGCATTTGGGCTAGGTCACACGCTTCCCCTCAAAAAAAAAAAAAACAGAGGGGGGTGGGGGGCTGTGATAATTGGCCCAACTTAAATGGCAGTGCGCTGGAGTGTAGCCGCTGCACTAATGATAACCGTTACAATGATAAATAAGCAATTATTGTTTACTGTCATTGTCACTATTGAGGGGAGTGACTCGGGTTTGGCGAACTTTTAGCAACAGGCCCGCATAGGCCAGCTGCGTAAGTGTTTAAAAATAGTCAGTGGAGTCTTGCCTCAACCCCCCCACCCCCACCCCGCCCCCATGTTAAATACGATCATTATAATGGCGTTAGCCGCTGTGATGTTTAGCTATGTGTGACTTTTAAGGATCTAATTGAGGGACACTTGAGTCCTTCTCTGAGGTGAAGTGTCCCTATATTTGGGGGGGGGGGATGTTTGTTTTGGTGTCAGGTTGTCCCGCTTAGCCATTACCGGCACCCCCCTTAGGGGCGGGCAGGGGGGGGGGGGGCAAACCGCGGAAGTGGAGCACGTTGTCCCGCTGACGCGCTCGTGGTAGCGGGGGCCGCAGCCTTTCATCCTGACAGGAAAAGGGGGCAGTAGGGGGGCTCACACACGCAGCGGCAGCGGAAACGACTCTAACTGTCCTGAGACGCTCAGCCGGGGGATTCTGGGAGCTGCGGGGAAGGAGGTCGCCTTTAAACGCTTATCAAAGTGCGGTCGCCCCGACGGCTCGGCCGAGGAGGTGCCGCTTCCTGTCGCGCGTGGTCTGTTGTCCGCCTCGGTCCGGAAGCAGGTCGGGACGCCTGTCAAGGGGGAGACGAGGGCCAACCAGAGGCCCCCTTTAGGGCTCCGAGTTCATCGCTCTGCTCCCTCTGCCCTCCCATCCCTCCCTTCTATTGGCAGTGTTTTTAACCAGATGAGTTTGTTTGATTCGATTTTTTATTTTTTTTCCTTCTCCCCTTGCCCCGAAACAGAGATGGCATCCCTCCATACAAGATGGGCACCAAGAAGCAGCTGCAGCGAGACATGCAGCGGAGCGTCCGGATGAACGGCCAGGTCCCGCTGCCCCACTTCCCCGTAAGCGTCGCCTCCGTTCCTCCTGCACACCAAACTTGTGTTTTGTTTTCCCTTCTTTTTTTCCGTCCCGAGGTTCTGCTTTGACAGGACGCCGTTTGGTAGTCTTCCTCATTCGCTGACATCCTCTTCATTTTCATATAAAAGACAGTTGTAATTAGCATCCCGCCCCCCCTTCTGGAACACACCCCTCCACCCCCAAGACTGCGAAAAATATGAACCAAAGTTTGTTTTTGTGTCATTAATGTTGGCGTCTCTAAAATAAAGAGTAATAACAGCGGGCTAAACATAGAAATTGGAGGGGGGGGGCTCAGGTTGTAAAAATGGGGAGGGGTGTGGGGGCCCCCAAATCAGCCAGGCTCTTCTGGATGGTGCTTTGATCAGAGGATGAATGGAGCCAGCTTGTGTAGAAGTGACAACTTCCAACAGCGCGAAATCCCCCCCCCACCTCCAACACGCCCTCCCCCCGGATCCATGTGAGTCCGGGTCAGGGAGAATCGGCTGCCCCTGTTACCCAGGCAGGGCGACGGGCATTAAACGCCATGGGGGCTGGGTATCGACATAGTAACCGAAACGGAAGGCGTCAAGCCGCATGGCCCCCTCCACCGGAAGTGTGACAGTTTTTTTTTTTTTTTTTTTTTTTTTGGGGGGGGGGCGCTGCTGGTTGTGGGCTTCCTTTCTCTCCCACCGGTGCGCTTTCTTCCCCATGTTTTTAATGTTTCCCCCATGATTCGGAGATGGCTTCGTATCCCATGATGCACCGGGCTCCCGGCGGCTTTCTTCTCCGTCTTCATCGCCTCTACAAAGAGATGAGAGGAACTGGGTTTGGTGGGGGTGGGGGGCGGGGGGCAAATCAAAAAAGCAAGAGTGCAAAATGTGGAAGAAATGCACATATAGTCTAAAGGTGGAGGGAAAAGAGATAATGTCCTTCTGAACCTCAGAGGTACCCACTGTGCTTTTGGGAAATAATTTACCTCTTCTTCTGATCTCTTACCATTTGACTCCTCTATCTCTCTGCCCCCCCCCCCCCCCCCCCCACCCTGTGTTTTTGAAGATCACACAAACATGGAGACCCGGCGAATCCCTATCACGTCAATTCGGGCTACATCTTCGCCCCTGCCACCAGCGCCAACGACAGCGAGATCTCCAGCGACGCCTTGACGGACGACTCCATGTCCATGACGGACAGCAGCGTGTAAGTGTCAGGCGAGCGGGCTGTGTCGAGCCACGCGATGACATTGTCGTTAGATCATACAACACGTCAGGCTCACCAGGCTCCGGGGGGGGCGGGGAGCAGCAGGTATTTTTTCCCCCCCTTAATTGCCTCCTGGTGTTTCAGCATTAATTAAGGCAAAAACTATTTCTGACCGTAACTTTGTAACGCTTTTGTCTCGTGCCACTTTTGTTTTGCCAAAAAAAGGTGGTTGGAATGTGCTAGAAGAGTCTCGGTTGGCATGTGCTTTGGATGGAGGTCAAAGGTCAATGTATATCTGTGGTTTCTTAGAAGCAGATGTTGAAAGCTTTTTCCGCCTCTTCTGTTTTTTTTTTCTTTTAATACTCCATTGGCGCCCTCTCTGGGTAGCGTTTCACGCATCATTGTTTGAAGAGGGTAATGAGACTGAGATGCGACCTCCCCCCCGGCCAGCCATTGGCCAGCAGCCTCCCAGCGTTATATTTAGGAGTGTGAGAAGGCTCCAGGGCAGGCCGCTGTTTCGGCGGGAAGCCCTGTTTACCGTTAGAGAGCTCTGCTGGTGGAGCACCAGTCGATACTTCCCCAGGCTAACGATGACAAGGCGTGTGATGCCGCTTGCGTTTTTAAGCCCAGTTTGGAAGCACTCCCCGTTTGTCTTGGGGTACTGGGGGGCTTTAACTCCTCCTCATTAGTCTGCCCAAAGCCGCGCGCTCATTTCCGACGAGCTTTTCAGCGCCTGCATACCCGTGCCGGCCTGCTCCGATGTCTTTTCGTCGTACCGCTTTTGATGTAACCGAAACTTTTGAGAATGATAGTCTCTAAACGTAATCCTCTTGATTTATACTTTTAAGGTTTTATTTTTCTAGGAGGCCTGTTTTTAGGTTTTTGCACAAACCTGGTGGGGTTTAGTTATTTCTTGGTAAGCCGTTGACTTTTTGATAATGTTAGCGATGTTTACTTTGGGCAGGAACTTGTGTTCAGTGGCCTTTGGGGGGGGTGGGGGCAGCGTTTCTGAGCGCACGTGCTACTGCCTTACTAGCTACGTGGCCATTAGTGTTTTTTCATTTATGATGGATTTTGTTGTTTAGTGCTTCTGTCCCTTTTGGAGGGAACTCTGGGAAATCCATTAGATGGAGCCTTTTGAAGTTCTGTGTGAAATATTACTGAAGAATTTTATATGGGGGTGTTGCTTCTCTCTCTAAAGAGTATGAAAATTACCCCCCCCCCCCCCATACCTGTTTTTATGACTGAATTGTTTTCCATTGAAGAATACTGGAAAATTGTCACTTGGGCCTTAAGACAGTCTCATTGAGAAACGCTGGCAGCGAATGAAAGGGCTCTTAGTCACATGCCGGTTTGATCTCCGCCTACCTGGCCCGGCGCGGTGAGCTCATGTGTCATTGGGCCACTCGCTTCCCGACCTCAGGACGGGTCACCTGGGATTGGAACACCCCCGGGTCCCTGCCCAATGCCGGCTCCACCCTGACACCCCCAAAGCCCCGCCCCCACCCTTTTTTTTTTTTTTTTTTGTAAAAACAGCA